GATATACAGCTTTAAGGTTTTTATCCATTGAAACCCTATTAGAAATAACCCCATGTGATGCATCTTGGTCAATATGATTATATGGTGTCAAATTTTCATCAGATCCACATACCAGAGTATTGCAGTCAGATAATTCTGCTGTTCGAGCATTCAGGTCTCCAACAATAATTGTATTGCCTAACAACTGATATAATGCAATTGATTTTTCTAAAATTTCCATATTATCTACATGTTCAAATTTTGAACCTTTATGTGGCATATATACAAAACAAATATAAATATCTTTGGCTAAATTGTAAAATGATGACTTGAGCTTTAGCCAAACAAAAAAGTCATGTGCATATAGTAATAAGATGGATAGTTGCTCTATAATTAGTGAGAATGATATTACATTTTCAAATAACAATGAGTTTGGTAAGCGTGTGAGTGATTCAATACATGAATGTAGTAAGCTCTTAGCGTCTGATGACGTTTCATTATTCCACAAAAATCAAAATTCAACTGACTTAAAATGTCTAATGTGGAACATTAATCGTTTATCAGATAAATTACATAATGGGTATGACATTAAAGAGCTTTTTAGCAAGTACTCAATTGTATTACTATGTGAAACCTGGTTAAACCCACTTGAAACATTTACTTTAGATGGTTTTACTGTACATAATCTTGCTCGACAGTCTAAAAATGCAAATTCTAATGGATTTTCAGGAGGTTTAGCTGTTCTTGTAAAAGATGAATTATTCAATACAAGTGTAGAATTGATTAAACAAACACATGACTTTTTTGTTTGGCTAAAGCTCAAGTCATCATTTTACAATTTAGCCAAAGATATTTATATTTGTTTTGTATATATGCCACATAAAGGTTCAAAATTTGAACATGTAGATAATATGGAAATTTTAGAAAAATCAATTGCATTATATCAGTTGTTAGGCAATACAATTATTGCATGTGCAGTATACAGGTGTTCAGACTTCAAACATCTTATCTCATTTTGTATCAATATTACCTCAATATCAACTAAGAATTAGCCCATATCTCCATAAAAAGGCAATCTAGATAGCAATATTGCATAAAATGATGTAAATGCTGAGATAAATACTGTCAAGGACACTTATGATATTATACATGCAGAATTCCTACCAACACCTGACCTGACAACCTTGTTAACACAGGATGCATTCAAAAATTGAACCAGGATTGTACCTAGTACCACTGAGTGTAAACTGTATCACTTCCCAAGATTTTGATCATATTACTTTAAATCCCCATTGAAAAAGACGAATGAGGCTCTAGCCAAGGGTCTACAACAAAAAAACAATACATAACCATGAGTCTAGATTGTATCACTTCCTAAGAATCTGATCATATTACTTTTTGTTTTGATAAGGGACTATCAGGACACAATAGAAAACATCTTATCTGCCTTTGAAAGGTAATTTGATCAAGTATTGTTTTATTCATTTAAGATGGTACAAATGTTGCAGGTTCTTAGAACTTAGCACACGTTTTGTCAACTGTAGTTTTGGGAATGTTTAATTTCAGTTTAGAATGTTCAACAATAAGGCTCATTCTTTTTAAATCTTCAGAGGCAGTTTATTGTAAAAGTACTTCATATTTCCAAAGAGGCAAAGATGATGCATTATGAGCATTTCCAGAATTTTTGCTTTGAAAATGTCAATGGGGAAAATCATACCATATGACAATGAATTTTAAGGACAGTTTACCTAAAATTGCCTGAACTCTCTATAATTTGTTCACTCATATAACCTCACTTTATCACAAAGAACAAAGCTTCTTATCCAAGTTGGGTATTTCCTGTTTTCATAATGTTTTGCCTGAAACTAAAAATTTAATAACCATGATGACATGATGTTAGATGTGTATGTATTCTTGATTATGATGAATGAGAACAGGTTAAAGTGGGTGGATCTGACGCATTGTGATCCCATAGTTCGAGCCTGGGGCAACACATGACGTTCTGGGTCAATTCTCTGAAGTTATACATGATGTACTGTCTATATGCAGAGTTTATATTGAGATGAATGGCATGCCAGTAAAGAATATTGGGTTCAGAAGAGTCCCAAGTCTAAATTCCATTGATAGAAGTCTAAAGATTACAAAAATGAACGAAACAACGCCAATTTATCACGTAAAAGCATTTATGAAAATATTTCTAACATTGTCCAAGCAGCAAGTGAGCAAGTTCAAATAAAATCATCTCAAGTCCTATTGCTGACCTTCTATCTTGATGATATAGACCCCAGAATGTCCTTAGAAAGTGTGGCTATTTGGCGGGATTCTTCTGTGAAAACCATCAAGATGTATAGAGAGGCTTGGGTTACATGTAATAGATCCCAATTGTACAGTTTGATTCAGTCCCCATGTTCTATGTACTTTCTTATTTTAACTTGTTGAACTATATCATGTCTTTTTTCTTCCACTTTTGTATAAAGGGAAGTTTATTTTAGGATAAATGTAGCAAGAAAGCTTTGTTTATTTCAAAATCTATAACACAAACAAATAAATCAAATAATAGGAAAAAAACTATTTACATTCAAAGAATGTGTGACAAAAATCTGCACGATTGAGGTATTCAACATTTTTCTGACCAACATTAATAAAACTCATAATTATCAGGTTTATGAATACAATCACAGTTATCCTAATTTATAGTTCACTCTAGATAGCTAAATTAGGATTTATTGATAGCACACAGATGATTCATAATGTTTTAACTGCCCAAGGAGACACCCAGAGCTGTATATTCAGGTGCTCAAGACTGTAACATGATCATTAACGAAAACACAAGAATTTTGCCCAGGGGTAAAAACTGCCAATTTGCCTATAGGGGGACACTCAAGCATCACCTTAGAGGTAACAGCACTAGTTGAGGTCTAGACTACTTGGGGAACCCATAAAGAACCATTTCTTTGATATGAGCAGAAAATATAAGATTTTCAAGATGTTTGGCTTGAATACAATTCCTTGAAGATTTAACTGAGAAAACCACAAGCACTATATGCAATTTTTTATAATTGTGGTCATTCTGACACTATGCAAATAACGGCACACTTTGCTTTGGATAAATCAACACAATTTATTAGAAAATAAAACAAAAATTAGATCTTTAACCTGTTGATTGAAAACAGTCATTTTAAGTGCCATCTTCAATACTCTTGTTTCACAATCTACACATAAAAAATATTTTACCATTCATAATGCATTTTTGGGCCTTAATATTACCTTATATGGTAACAATGAGCACATTCATATTGATAAGTTCTTACTTCTCTTTTATACTGGAGAGTGGCAGGTGTTCTTTCATTGGATTAACAATAATACCGATTGGATTAGATTTATAAAATTTTCATAATTCTTTGGAGAGCACAATGTAGCCCTTTTGAACGGTATTCCCGCGAATGTCTACTTAGTTTTCTAAAGTCATGTTGAAGTTGGGATTAAGTAAAAGCCTGTTATCGTACTTTATCAGTTAGTTGCAATTTTAGTATGCTGCATTGTACTCTAACATTATTTTATCAAAGTTTACTTATCAATTTTGGATTTAACCCTGTGAATAAACATGCGTAATCATAAAGTAATCAAATATTATCAACGTATCTTTCGGTTTGGTTAAAGGTAAACATGTAAGGAAGGTGCAAGTTTTGAGACAAACACTTTAAATGTTTAAATCCAAAGGAGAAACAAGTCTAAGAGCTATATAAGCCCAATAGTAAAGTAACAGTAGTAACACACAAATAACGCTAAGACGATCAGTTGGCATATTTTATGTAACAAACCATTACTTGTAAAAGTATGATATAAGTCTTGATTATTTTTAATTATTTGGTACTCCAGAATGTTGGACTATCTAAAATGAAAGCTATCGCTAAATAGATGCTATGATTTAGTTATATAATGTACCTTTAGCAAGTTGAAAATTTATATGTTCTTAATATATAGTGCCAACACTTTTAGTATCTTGGAAACAATCTTTGTTCTTTAGAAATAACTACTAGTAAGTTAAACTGGAGTTTGAAATCATTTGGCTTTACATATAGGAACTTCAAAATAGAAAATTGAGCCCATAGAATAATAATTGGTGACCTAATACAAGTAGGAATCATTCAGTATTGAGATCATTTTGTTTGTTTGTTACACTCCCAAGTGTTTACTGTTTGCCACAAGATACCAAAGTTAGGATATATAGCTTATAAACATAAACTCTTATGCAAACTTGCTAATTGCCTTAATAGAACAATATAAACTTAACAATGCAATCAGAGAATCTTAGACCCAACTGTCTGCTTTTAACACCATGTTAAATTAGTAATTAGATGCACTGGTTTCATTAGTATGCAACAGGCAATTATATGTGGTTGTTTTGAGAAATCATCTGTTGCTTTGAGGACTTTGCAACTGTCTCCAAGTTAAAAGTATTATTTATAATTATCATTATTTTGCTTGTTGTTTGGTTCGACTTGTCAAATGAACAATGATACAATTTGAATGTTCCTAAAGCACCATTCTCTTATCTATGTTGGAGTTTAAAACTTGCAATATCTAATTCAGGGTGTAACTTTAAAAATACTGGCAGTGATCTCAAGCCAAAATTATGTATTCAACAAAAGACCTGTACCCAATCAAAATTCTAGGATATAGAGTGCAACGAGAGAATGTCAAGATGTACTTGTTCGTTCCATGATGAAGACTCTTCATTTTAGCTTTGTGTCATAATTGTTACATTTGTTTGATGTAACGTAATTTGCATTCAATACTAGATCTCATTACAATCAGTGACATTTATAAAGACTGTCTAAGTCCATGAACTGACGCATCACAGGGACGAAGTCAGCAACCAGGAAGGCACGTGAGGAGGGGGATTGGTGACACACTCCCTAGTCCCCGTGTGACACATTATATACATGTTCATACACTTTGCACTTTGATACAATGCTTTTGTAGGTCACAATTTTGAAAAATAATTTAGCTGAACCTACCTAATCATCCAGTCACACTGGTCCTGGTTGAACTGTCCTTTAATACAGGGTGCGATGATAAACACTACTAGCATACACCATAACTGGTGTAAATATGGATAAAGATCCATTTCTAAAATGTCACTGAAAACTGCAGTCAAAAAAATAGGTTGAAAATATCACAAGTGGTTGTTCATTACAGATATCATTATATTTCAGTATCTACAGCTAAATCCATGATAAATCCGTATTGTCAGTGTCCTTTTGTTATTTCACTGTTGTAATGTTGTATTTAATCCACGGTAATGATTTGTAATCCATGATTTAACAGCAAAATCAGGTGAGAGAGTTTTCTAGATCCCAACTGTGTCACCATTACTTCCTAAATGTCCCAAACATAAATTGGGCAAGTCAATCTTTAATTGATAGGGGTGCTAGGCTTTTTTCCAAATGTCGAACTGCTGAAACAAAGTTTTATACTTGACAAAAATATATTGATTACAACATTTTAGATGAAAACTACAATGATAATTAATTCATGTAATTTATCATTATTAAAACAACAAAAGATTTTATTTAAATTCTTATGTCCCCTATCATTATAATAGACGCAACCAACTGGTCACGTGGTCAAACAAGATGTCTGCGCCCATGCCGAGATCCGAGGTTTATATTTTCCAGGTTTTTACTAAATATTACAACTTTTAACTGATTGATCCCCAAATGACTGACGTTGTAAGTATAATGATATATTTATGCATAAGCATAATCTGCTGTTTGTTACCAACACGATGTGAGGGAACAGTTGATGACTGATATTTAAAAAATCAAAAGATTTGATTTCAAGAAGTATGTTGGTGCGCCATCTTTCAATGCGTATAGAGATTATTTTTTGTAAATACTGCACCGTTGTGGGATAACAGTTACTTCGGTCCAAAGCCTTCTCTATATTCCGGCTTTGAGGAGGAAGATTGAGCTGCCTTAGTATTATAAATATTGTAAATCATTGTGTCACACGCACAGTAAATATGGCATAATAATATGAAATATACCTTTATGTATAGATTTGAAGAACATCAGCTCACATCCCCGTCTGAATCTATTGTTATATTTGATTTCTTTAAGCGAGAATAATTTCAAATGTTATTCACGTCCAGAACCGGAAGCCATTTTAGCTACAGCGAGAAAATTTCACCATGTGTCAAAACTCCGAAATGAAATTTTGAAATATCTAAATCCAGACAAGCAACGCTTCATCCTAAATATGATTAATATTCTTAAAAATATTTATAAAATTTATTAAAAATGAGTTCTAGGTGCGTGTAGGTGCGTGTAGCACAGTACATACGAAATCAATGAAGTTTCGTCTAGCTGTAAGCTAGAGACTCGAGTAAGATAACAGTCTCTGCTCTTAACTTTAGAGTTAAGATCCCAGTGGGGGGGGGGGAGTTACTGGTCAACTGTTTGTACATGGGTGCTGCTGGGATTCATCTACCCACATCTACAGTTTTGAACATAAATAAATGACAGCTTGATTTGCTGAAGTGGGGATTCCCATGTTAAAAATAAGGGAATTTTCAAGAGGCCATACATCAGTGGATGGGATAATACAAAATGTAAAATATACAAATTTTAGGGGATATGTATCTACATGATATTGGAAACTATGGGCTTTCAGATGACCATGGTTAGGAAATGGTGATAGAAAATCCACCTGTCATTTTATTTATGTTTCAAACTGTAGGGATTTTTTGTTTGTTTATAGACTATCTAATTGTTTGTGGTGCTTTTAAAGCCAGGATTTTTTCCTCTAAAAATGGACCCACATCTAGGGTTTTTATTTCAAAAACAGACTCACTTCGAGGTTATTTTAAAAAACAAGAGCCATTTCCTGTAATTCATTTTCAAGAACAATACCCAGTTGAAGGATTTTCAAAACGTAGACCCAGTTCTAGGGATTTTTCCATTAAACTGGGACCCATACCAAAGTAGCCAATGGGAGTACCCTCCCCGGACATCATATATCCTAGAATCGAGACATATTGGTTATATATCTTGTTTTTCAGTCAATTGTAGTGTGTTACTACAATGCAGAAAAATGGCTTGAAGAATGCATTAGATCTGTTTACGACCAAGACTTTATAGGAACAATTGAATTTTCACTATACAATGATGGATCCAAGGTATGATTACTATGATATGTCACTTTGTTTAGTTTTGTTACAGTTTACTGTATACGTAGATAAAAGATAATAAAAATATATGATAAGAATATATTTTTTACTAATAAAGTGTCAATAAAAGATGTGATTCAAGGAATTCTCTTTTGTAAAGAATAATATATTTATTTTTCTACAAAGTTTATAATGATATTCCCAGCATCCTAATGCAACTGGTTGTTCATCCTTTCTAAATCTGTTTGCTCTGTTCAAAGTATTGAATATTTAGACATTTAGCATTTGAGAAAAAACTCTGGGGAAAACCTTCGGAGATCACTGCATGATTATTTACACAGTGTAGTTTAAAATATGAATACATCATTATTGCTTTCACTTTTACCTAGACTTTTATATGTAAATAAATATCTTACAAAACCACATCTTATGTTATAGTTGAAAGTTAATAAAACGGATGTTTTCCAGGATTCGTCATATGAGATTGTAGAAAGATGGCGCAACCTCTTGGAGGAGAGAGGCATCAGCGTGAAACTGGGTGGCCATTCTGAGCCACATCCTAAAGGAGGTTGGTAGATTTTCAAAATTTTTTGTGTCAATTCGATACTGGTACCAACTCCAAGAAACTGCTCGAAAATAGAATGTAATTTAAACTCATTTAGTAAAACTTAGTTATACTGTTATAGTTCAGTTATAGTGTTGAACCCTGGTCCAAACTACTACTGCCATCTTTTAATCAATCTTTATAGCAAGTTCTCTATTGCATCTTATAACTGTATGTTGTTATCCATCAAAAGTGTGCGACTGATCACTGATATCTCCACACTGATAATATCATGGGTAATCATATGTACCAAGTGTGTTATGTATAATTGTACAACTACATTGATAAAATTCATTAATTCAATTTTGATTGGTTTATATATGTTTTTGATATAATATATGTTTTTGAATTGTGTTTTAGTTGGGTTTGCTAAAAACTGTGCAGTAAGACAAAGCAATGGAGAATACATATGCTTTCTTGATGCTGTTAGTATTATTGCAGAATTTTCTACAGAGAATACCAGATTCTTTTGTGTTTTAAAGCTCAGCATGGCAATGATAATTGTTAACAAATAAGTTACTGAATATATTAGAGAAACCATCTCAATATTCAAACTAAGTGTGGACCTAATACTATTAATACTTTAAAACATTAACTTAGTGTATGTTAACACCTCAAATATGAACTCTTTTTGATGCAAGTTTTTAGATACCTGTTTGATTCAGTTCACCTTAACCTGAGCACCACAAGATTAAACAAGTCAACCTATTTTTAGGATGATGTTTTGAGGAAGGACAGAGTCACTAAACAGTATGAGGCAACAAAGGACAACAAAAATATAGTAGGTGTATTATTTGTTATATTCTCCACTTTTTGTGGATGGTGTTTGGTATCTGTAACAGCGTTCACCATCTTAAACAGCAGTTGGTGTCCGTAACAAAATGGCATTTTGCATGTTATAGATTTTAATACATACTATTAATTTTATTTCGTATTTCTGTCCCTCTCCCTAAAATATGTTAATATTGATCCATCTCGAAGTAAAGACTTATATTAGTTATATTATTGCAGATCACTGGAAGTCAGATCTGGCGGGAACCAGAGGGCTCAACTGTCAGGTTTACAGAGTGGGCCAATACGTTGACACCAGAACAGCTTTATACACAGGTAGGTTTACAGAGTGGGCTAATACGTTGACACCAGAACAGCTTTATTCACAGGTAGGTTTACAGAGTGGGCTAATACGTTGACACCAGAACAGCTTTATACACAAGTAGGTTTACAGAGTGGGCTAATGCACTGACACAGAACAGCTTTATACACAGGTAGGTTTACAGAGTGGGCCAATGTACTGACACAGAACAGCTTTATACACAGGTAGGTTTACAGAGTGGGCCAGCATGTTGGCACCAGAACAGCTTTATTCACAGGTAGGTTTACAGAGTTGGCTAATGCACTGACACTTGACCAGCTTTATGCTTAGGTAGATTTACAGAATGGGCCAATGCACTGACACAGAACAGCTTTATACACAGGTAGGTGTACAGAGTGGGCCAATACACTTACACTTCACCAGCTTTATGCTTAGGTAGATTTACAGAGTGGGCCAATGCACTGACACAGAACAGCTTTATACACAGGTAGGTGTACAGAGTGGGCTAATGCACTGACACTTGACCAGCTTTATACCAGGTAAGTACAACAAATCTGTTATCTCATATAATATGTACTGTATATGTAAATTACCTGGACATAATATCCATGCCATGTATTGGAGATATACATCATGTACTTTTTGTTGTCCAGAACAGCTTTATACACAGGTAGATTTACAGAGTGGGCCAATACATTGACACCAGAACAGCTTCATACACAGGTAGATTTACAGAGTGGGCCAATACATTGACACCAGAACAGCTTTATACACAGGTAGGTTTACAGAGTGGGCTAATACGTTGACACCAGAACAGTTTTATACACAGGTAGGTTTACAGAGTGGGCTAATGCACTGACACTTGACCAGCTTTATGCTTAGGTAGGTTTACAGAGTGGGCCAATGCACTGACACAGAACAGCTTTATACACAAGTAGGTTTACAGAGTGGGCCAATACACTTACACTTGACTAGCTTCATACCAGGTTTGTACAACATAAAACTAAATGTATTAGTCAAATCTGGTCTCATATCACATGTACTTATTTTTTAATTACCTGTATAACCCTAGACATAATATCTGAGCCATGTATTGGAGATGTACATCATGTACTTTTTGTTCATTGTTACAGATGTTTACCTCCCATGGGCCCACTGTTGTCATGCCAACCTGGTTCTGTGCAAGAGAAGTCTTTGAAAGAGTCGGAGGTTTCAATGAAGGTGGTAAGGTAAGATTACTAAGGTGTATGGTGATTTTGTGGTCTGCTTGAATACTTTGTTTTTTTGTTTATAATTAGATAAAAAGTATGTGAAAATGTATTCACATATTATAACACAAACTTGGTATTAAATGGGAGGATGTAATATATTGTTCACACCTTTTGGGACTTGAAAGTAACTTCCAAAAGAAAATACAACTCCTCAAATTTTTAATAGGATGGCATGCGCAGCACTCATTTGCTTTTTGTTATCTTAAGCCAACTTATTTCAATGGGATAAGCTGTCTTGTCTTTTTTCTTGAAAAATGAATATCTTTATTTTTGCATATGTGCTACAGGGTGTGCCTGAAGATATGCTGTTCTTTTATGAACACATAAGACAGGGTGGGTCAATACAGCGAGTAGATGAACCATTGTTGATGTACAGATACCATCCTGAAGCTACTACATTCTCAATACATGAGTAAGTGTAACACATTCATTCAGTCCTTCATAAATATTGTAATAATATTTTAACATAAGAAGGTCCTCCAAAATAAACATGTTATAATGTCGTAAAATAACGATATTCTGACATTTTCATTGTTGGGAGCCCTTCCTCCTTGGTTGGGAGCCCTTCCTCCATGGTTGGGAGCCATTCCTCCTTGGTTCCACTTGGTAAAAACATACAGAACTTTTCAGGGATACTATTTGGGGGCATAGAATTGCATTCTTCCAAGAGAGGGTGCTTTCAAAGTGGTCCAAATTTACAGTGTGGAACGCTGGAAAACAAGGACGTAAATTCTATCGCTCAATATCTCAACATAATCGAAACAAGGTAAGAAGTAATCTTAAAGGTACAAAGCACATAAAGGCAAAGATCTAAAGTTCAAAGAACATTGAGCTAGTTTCATTTTTTGCAACCCTTGAATAATAAGAATTTGTAAAATAGGTGTTCCGACATGACATACATGTACTTATTCAAAAATAGATGCTTACATTTTCTGGGTCACCTGTATATAACAGAACTAGGGGCATGATATGATGCAAGACTCTTACCTTAACATTGCTAATTTCAGGTCCTGTCTTTTTGTGATGTTGATGAGAAGAAAATTAAGAAAGGCGTCTACATTTATGAGGATTCTGAGGTAATTGACCTTTTACTGAATGTGTTTATAATATATTGTTTTAAATCCATATTTGTAACAACATGGGTCAATAGCTTTGTCTCTAATTGGTTGAGTTCTTTTGCAGGAGATGCCAAGACCCAAAGTGCCAATCATCCATTTCAGTCAAGCAAAACCTCCTATAGTCATTTGTGTAAAACAGGTAAGATTTATTACTACATATTTAGATACAAACAATATGAAGGACTATTTACTTCAGGGTTCTCTCCAGAAAAATGTTAGACTCTGGAGAAATTGCATCCAAAGAACCTGCTAAGTGGAACACCTTTGTAAGTGGAACACCTCACAAGTGTAACAGTGTCCCATGCTCCATGTTAATGAAACTCTGAAAGTGGAACACCTCACAAGTGGAACAGTGTCCCATGCTCCATGTTAATGAATCTCTGAAAGTGGAACACCTCACAAGTGGAACAGTGTCCCATGCTCCATGTTAATGAAACTCTGTTAGTGAAACACTTTCCAAGCGGAACACATTTTTGTAGTCCCAATGGTGTTCCACTTACACAGGATCTACTGTACATTTTCTTGCATCGATACCTGTGCAAGTTCATCCATTCTTGGTTTGCTTTAATATGTTTTCTTTATCTTGTCATCATTAACAAGGTACAGTCAAATTTTTAATAGGGTACTAGAGGCCCATAAATCCTGTTGTTGTTATCTTCAATGTTAACTAAATAATCAATGTTTGCCTCAACAAATTCTTCCTCGGATATTTTCCCATCACGGTTTGTGTCCATGAAGTCAAACTGCAATCTTCCTAATCTAGGATCTTGATCCATTGCCTTCCAATATATCAAGTACTCTTCAAAATCTATTTCACCATCAGAGTTGAAATCTAGAGCCTGGAAAAGATACAGAGAACTTGGAGAAACCTTACATCCACATCAATTGATTATAACATCATTCTATTTTCTGATTTGTTTTAATAGATAAAAGGCTTTATCCTATGCCAAGTAGAGTTTTAGGGAGATAAGTTGGAAAGATATATCCCGTATCCTGATTTTGAGGTTTCCATATCCAGAACCTCCATATCTCCCGCCATATCTCCCGCTTTGGTGCATATCTTCCCGCTTCGGTGCATATCTTCCCGCTTCCGGTAAGTAGTGGAAATGCAATAAAATGACTTTGCATATGAATGATTTGTTTATTTTTACACCTTGTACTATTGAAATGGTCATATGCCCCTGAAAACTCTACTTGGTATAGGATAAAGCAGTTATGTACAGTCGGTTTGGATATTGGGTGAGATATGCACATATGCACATTCGGTCCCTACGGTCCCTCAGGTAGATATGCATATCTCCCTCTGGATAAACCCCATATCCAAAACCTCCCAGTACAAAACCCTTATGTATATACCTTGAATAGGTTAGAGAAAAAATCCTTCCATCCTTGCACTGCTTCTGGGTCCTCTCTGTGTGACCAAGCTTGCAGAAGCTGTTCACTAAGAGAATGCACAGTGTTGATACCATCAGCACCAGAGTCAACATACTCTTTGATGAAGTGATATAATTTATCTCTTGCTTCTGCATTTAATTCACCTGAAATAATTTTTCTTTAGTTTTTCTCCAAGGAGGATTGGCAGCCATTATACTACTTGATATTCAGTTGCGTGGCGTGGAACAATTTAGTAAAAATATTTCTATAAAATTCCCCTTGGACCAAGTATTTTGTTAGAAGATGCACATTACAAATATTATGGTAATACACAAGTTACATTGGCAGTTCTAGTCTTCAAAATATGAGTAATATTATTACCAAATTGGTCCACGCCAGGCAACATAGTATCGAGTTTGAATACCAGCTTCCAATACTCCTTGGTTTTTCTAAAAAAAAATAGAAAATAATGTGATAGAAACTTTACAGTGCACAAGTGCTGGTAGCTGGGGGCGATAAATAGGGTGAACCAACGTTTATCCATTTTGCTCAGAAAAGGACCTTTGTCATCCATATGTATAAGACTTGACTCTTAGATTATTTGAATCCGTGAATGGTATAAGGAGTTTACAGGCTTGTAATTGTTTAACATACAGGGTGTCCAGAAAGTAAAGATACAAATGCTCTTATTTCAATAGATTTACCTCTTATGTGATGAAATTGCTACAGGTTGTAGAATGACATTATAACATTTTATCCTGCAACTGTCATGACATATAGTCTTAAAATGAGAAAGTTATTATGGTAACAGGAGTAGGGGTAATGTGAAGCAACATCACAATCTTTTTCCTGCTCATATCATCTATGCACTCCATCATCTGTTCCTATTATGCTTCAGATTATGTACCACAACAGCATGAGGATCAGAACTGTAACATTATTTGATCATTTCATATTACTACTACATATGGTGCATTGTACAAAATAAAAGGGTTTAATGTCAAGACACTCCATTATAAGATTTGTTTTCTTTGCTTTGTGAATTGGTGCATTTGGAAGGTGCAATATTGACTTTCTTATTAGTCCAGGGACCTTTTTCTAAGTACTCATATAATATTTCTTTGATTATACTGGTTAGTAACATTGCATAGTTCTGATATGTATCAATAAAATAATTATACAAAAGAGAACATTATGGAAACAATAATACAACATTGAACTGGCAAAACATTGACAGAAAATACAATAATAAACACTGTTTCAAATGGTTATATTCTAACAATTTATCACATTGTTCCACAACAATCTGTAGCAATTTTATGTCAAAAATTTGATCTCTTAAGATTAGAATATTTGTATCTTTACTTTCGGACACCCTGTAGTCTAAAGGGATATAGAGAAGCTGCCCATCCATTCGTTCGTTCGTTTGTTCATTCATTTAATCGTCTGTTGGGCAGATAACTCAAATACAGGGAGTTTGATTGGGTCCAAAGGCTGATGCTTTACGGGAATAGGACCTTTGCTCAAGAGCTCTGTTAAAGATATAAATGTTCAAGATGGCCACTGAAATCAAATTGGCTGCCATTTTTATTTTGTAAATGAATGTAATCCTCTGATAACTCACACCAGTTGACAGATTCGGTTCAAATTTATTATGCTGATGCCTTATAGGCTGAGAACTCTGCTCAAGGAGAAATTCTTTAGATGGCTGATGAATTCAAAATGGTTACTGGTATCTTTTTCTGGTCAAAAAAATTTAGGCTAATGCCTCGAGGCCATTATGTCACATCATGGGTCTAGATTATGCCAAAATTTGGATTTGTTACTTGGGGGAGTTGTTGTTTTTCTAGTTGTATTTACTCTTTTGATTCTGACATTTAATATAAACTAGATTAAAGACTTTGTTAAAAACGTGCACCCCTGATATGATACAAATTATAGCAAAAACTGGGGTTTTGGGGCATGTCTAGAAAGAAAAATGTCTAGATAGAAAACATGATTTCTCTAAATGCTTCGCATTTTTAATCCTATATATACAAGACAACAAGAAGATTTCACCATAATTTTGAACATTATTCCAAAGTTTGAAGGGTCTTACTTTTGGGTTACCCCTAACATACCAATTTTGACAATTCTCTCTGCAATTCTCAAATGGTCCTCGTATCCAGCAACTCCATCTTTATCAAGATCCCAAGCAAATATTGTTGTTATCATCTTTCTCACCCATAATGATGGGAGATCCCTCACCTAAATTATTTGGGTGTAAAACATGTAGACCAATTATGGATGTGATTTACTATATGTTCTTTACTTACCATTCCAAATGAATTATCTTAAAAGGATCCAAAATATCTTACCAGATATGGAGCTTTTCATAAATCGAAAGAAAAAGAAAGAAATTGTGATTGTGAAATGGTATGGCAAGAAAAGATGTGTGCCACAGGTTATTAAGGAAGTTGACAGAAAATGGTAGCTCAGCATGATTATGAAGTGGCTTATGATTATTAAAGTCAGGCCTCTCTCCGAAATGCAATCTTAGGTTGTTCCCGGGGTCCCTGGTAATATTTTGTGCTTTAATGAGAAAATATACAATAATGAACAAATGGAGCAAATACTGTGTAGAAATACTCACGATAAAGATGTTATTTTGACGATTGTTCATTCAATTGCTCAGAGGTTCGCTGGTAAACAAATTTCTTCGAAGATTTCTAAATTTAGAATGTCACGTGACTTACTAAAAGGAAGTTTAAATATAGCCCTTAAAATAACAAATTGCATAACCAATTCCTGGGTAGCTCAGTGGCAGCGTGCTTGCTTGTCACGAATCCCGGCACTGACTAATCTTATTTTTTAAGTTAATGGTTATGCTTTGATTTTACGCTAAAAAACGTTTATATCTATGTCAAATCTAAATTTAAGTATTTATTATCTCTTCAGTCGTTTGAAAATGGAAAAATAATTTATGTTCACATATTGCGTTTTGGAGAGAGGTATAGGTTTAAATATATTCGAAAATGTTTGCGTCAATGAATTATTCAACTTAAATTAGTTAATTCAATCACTTACCTGAATATTTTTGGAGTATTCAGCCATTTATTTTAGTATTAGATTCACTCAAATCATCTTCACTTTTATTGTATGCAGTCTGCACTGGTACATGTACTTTGAACATTTATTTTATATGCATTTCAATATGCATTTTCAACAATTTTCAAAGGCATGTACTTTCACAGTTAAAATATTGAAAAGAGATTGTCCTCATAAAACCAGGTTTAAATCACTTTGCAACTTGCAAATGAATCATGGATTTAGTGTTTACTGAATAAAGCATCCAATTCAGTTATCACAATAATACATTTCTTTTTTTTGTTTTTTTTAGTTGCGATGTTGTAATAATGTTGCTGTGCACCCGGGGATTCACTGTATATAAACCTTGACGGGGATCCTCGGCGCACATGGGGTACCTTTTTTATGTCCCCACCACATAGTGTGGGGCCATATTGTCGGCCTAGGCGCGTCCGTCTGTCTGTCCGTCTGTCTGTCCGTACGTCCGGCAGTTTTCTCCAAAACCGCTACAGATATCACCTTCAAATTTTCAGGGATAACTTATGAGTGCATATAGATGTGGATGAAAAAAAATTAGCTCGATACCTACTTCCTGTCGGCCATTTTGAAGTCAAATGCTAAAATCCTTGTCTGCAAACTTTAAGAAAAACGGCTTTACAGTTGCTTTTAAAACTTTAACATCTTGTTTAGCTCACTACA